AAATTTCTATCAATTTTCCCATCACAAAGTGTAAACTTTAGACCTTAAATCATGAGTTTTAGCAAAATTAAGCCCTGTAATGAATGTAATTCTAAATGTCAGAGACCTACTGATATATTCCCCAAACCAGCAATCCACTGTTCTGATATACAGGACAGACTGCACTTGGGGGGGGGGGGGGGGGGGGAGGCTTTAAAGGTTTACCTAAGGGGCTTGTTAATATTTAACAGGGTACCAGTGTGGCAGAGCTTAACAAAAACAAGCAAAATAAACTCTCTGGACCAAGTCCTAGAAAAAACTGCATTAAGTTTAACAAAGGGAGGGACAAGGGGAGGCAGTCCCAGGCACCACAGAAGGATCAGGTCTGGAGGGCCACAGAAATCAAACAAGAAGTAAATGCTAGTGCAAGAAGATGGCTAAGCAAGCAATAAAGAACCTTTGGTGCCAAGAGCACGTTCTAAAATGAAAGCTTTTCAAAACTAAACAGGCAGCTGCCATTAACAAGCAGCTGCTAAGGAAGTTAGGCACGTTTTTAGGTTACATTGCATTTCCTGCATATTTGGGAGGATGCCTGTCCTTTAGCATCAGCCACCTAGATCCATTTGGACATCGTTCTGCCCCGAAGTAGGAGACCTTCTGTTCAGCGAGCTCTTCCCTGCTCCAGCCATCCCATTTCCGTGGATGCTTTGCTCCCCAGGGCCCAGCATTACATGGGCACTGGCAGCATAGGTATGTCCTGGCAGTGCTGGGGATACCTTCAAGGCTACCCAGGTAGCCATTTTGGTTCTCTCCTCCCTGACCCCATGCTACTCAGTTCTTTCCCACATTCCTACCCAGGATTCAAAAGTTCAGAAGAGTCAGGAGAGGAATTAACAAACCCAAATCTCCCAATTTCTGAAACACTACACTAGTTTGGAAGGTATTTACAAGGGTAGACTTCACTGCTCTCTCTGATTCCACCCCAGCTCACCTGGTCCCTCCAGGTCCATTTCACAGAGCTCCTCTCTGGACGTGCTGCTCTCCACCTCGGCCAGCATGTCCATTCTCCACCAGGCTCTCCTGGCTCAGCAAAAACTCCTCGTTTCCCAAGATGCACTTGTAGAGTAAGCTGGAAAAACCTCATGGGGCTACCAGCAACTTTTCCTTAGGCTCAGATCCCCTAAACAGCTTTTCTCAACAGCTGGTACCAACCCTAACATGAATTCTGGTTGGAAAACGCACCATTCCAAGCCTGTCCCACTGTAATCTGCATCCAGAAGAACAATTTGAACAGCAGGCTCAGAGCACGCTTCATACTTTTGTTTATCACTTGGCCACCATTGCAGCTTCTCTTAAAGAAGGACAACTCATAATAAGCTGCCCTTTAAAATAAAGATAGCTCGTTACACTCTCTTCTCCAGGGTGTACACACAAGATGATTTATAAGACTTTTGCTTATGCTTAAAATTAGTTAGGAAAGTAGAAATAAAGCTTGATGGGAAGCAGGAGACAAGCTTAAAATATGATCCAGATCAAAAACAGGAGGTGTGTTCATGTGAGATTCCTCGAAGGTCAGAAGATATCAGTTTCAAGTTCGTGGTAGAGTCAGCACCAACACAAGTGCATAGACAGTAACATGAGAATGACAGAAGATGTCCCACATGCAGCCTGCTACTACGACACACTGCACTAACAACTCCACAGCAGGAGGCCCACACTAGAAAGCCATGTGAAAGCCTTGACTCCACTGACCAGAGATGGAGTAACTTCACTCAGGAGTCGGGGGGAGCTCACACACAGTTAATGACAATTGTCACAGAGCTGCGCACAAGTCACCATCACTAGTATCTACCAAAGAAGCAGTGAATCTGCTGCTCTCTCTCTGGGTGAGGCATCAAGAGGCTCCAGAAGGTATTACAGACTATAGCAGTTGACGATCCTTGAGAAAAAATTGCATGCATCACCACAGGACTTATTCTTTATACCGATTAATTGAACAGACATGTTGAAAAGGCAAGCTGGAAGACAAGCCAACAATCTAATACTTCTGCCAATACCTACATACTATGTTGGAAGAAAGCCTCTTCCCTCCAGAAATTGATTTGCTACCTTTAGTCCGAGTATACAGGTATCAATTCAAAAATCTGACAGCACACAGACACGTGGAAATGTTGTATAGAGTAATACCATGAGGTTTCGCTTGGGCATTTTATGCTTTGTGATTGTCTGCAAACATCTGCCTTTCTGATTTAAATACTATGCCAGTTCTCCAGGTCTCTCCTTTCACTCCCTTTTTTAAAATCTCGACAGTGTTTTAGTCTGCACGCGTCAGAGACCAAGTAATCTAAAGAACAAACAGCTTGTATGCAAACCAAAACCACACTATGTATACTAAGAAGAGCGATCCATCCTCAGCATAACCTTCAGTGCAAATATGCCTCCCTCAGTGCATAAACAGCATCCAAAAAGAAAGGCCTTCATATAGAAGTTGAGCTGCTTTTTCCAAAAGTCAACTATATATTTTCCCCAAAACAGAGTCTTGAGAAAGATCGTACAGTGGAATCATCATGTTGAAGCTGCTGAAATAAGCTTTACGATAAGTGTCATCTTACTGTGAAACTGATCTGAATCTCACTTATTTCAAGTTAATTGTATGTTGTTTTGGCTGTTTTCATTCTCCAACAGCTGCAGTCATTCTTCTCTCTAAAACACTCAACATGAAGTATATGGATAATCATGATTAATGTTATTTTTAACATTTCTGGATAGCACTCAAAAATATATAACCCACTCAGACTTCGCACGCACTCTTTTGAGTCAGGCGCTATCATTTCATCATTGAACTGATACAATAATGCAGCTAGTGGGCCCACATGTATCAGAGACATTAGCAATCCAGAATAAAGTTTGCTTTTAATTCACATGCCTATCTACATATACCCCCCACTGTAATAGCAGTGTTCAGCCCATGGCTGGCCTCTGGCTTCAAAGAGGCTTAGCTTTTCAGAATTTAATATGAATTCAGTTTCATATACTTCTCTTCAGGTTGGCCTTTTCATGTAAGTGAAAAGCTGGATTAGATTTACTACAGCTTCTAGTTACCCAATTTCAAAAAGAACTTTTCACACTTCAGGAAGCTGTTGGTGTCCTAGACGTATTCAGCTTGCCTAACAAGGATCAGAAACTCCCCAAAGGTGTTTAAATTAGCAGCTGCATTAGCAGCCTTAACACATTATTAAAAATGAAGTCTTCAGAGTGTCCATGTAACCTAGAATAACGCTATGCTACTTAAATAATTTGCGTTGCCTCCTGGAGAGGGTTAAACAACAGCTTTAAATAGCTCATAAAACATGAGCTAACTCTAAGTCCATTCTTTCCCTCCCCACAAAAGCCAGAAACAAACTTTTTTTTTTTTTTTTTAAACTCTGCTGCTGAGGAGATGGACTGAAACAGAATAGAGCTTTTACACTGACAACAGAAAACTTTGACTCTCATATTACGTGTAATCATCAGCGGACACTATGGCTTCCACATGCAACCTCAGATACTGCATCCCATTCTGTATAGCCTTTGAAATGGGAAAGGGGAAGGAGTAGCCAACAATTCTCTAATAAGGGCAATAAGTCCTAATAACATACACAAGAAGAGATTTGTGAACAGATTCCAAGTTCAAGTTGATTTGTTACTGAAAAGTGATGTATTTCAGAAAAAAAATCAGACAAACAACATCAGCATGGGCAAAAAACGGATATGTTGCAATTGTTGGGTTGCGCACAGTTTTGTGTGGGTGACAACAGATATGCTGTACTACACTTAGGAAAGAGGAGAGAAAGCAAGCAAGACTGATGGTGCCCTTTAAGTCCTGCTTGTTGGGCCAAACCAGATTTTATGTAACAACACAGGGTGTTCTTTAGTTCAAAGGTTCATGAGAATGTTGTGAAATCTCCTTTAACAGCTTCCAGAAACAAAAATATACTTGAGAAATACCCAATTGCCTCAGTTTCTCTCCTAAGCTACTAAAGACATGGGAAGCCTGCACATAATGACTTGATACCAGGAATTCCAGCCGCTCCACATGCAACTCATTATTGGGCAATAAGAAAAAACACCGACCTAGGTAGAAGCCCTTGTTATCCTAGGTTTAAAAAAGAAAACAACTCTGAGATTTTCCCTTTCTTTTGGACAGTGACAAAAATCCACTTTGGAGCAGGAGCTATTCAGTATAAGCAGAATAGGAGATGTAACTTCAGATGGTCCCTTCCTGTTTGCAGGCATTCTAACCTAGCATAATCCAAACGGAGCCCCAAGACTCACCCTCGTTTCCTACCACCGCATACCTTTTCTACAATACAACTCTCATGCAAAGCAGCCTTGTAAAATCTTTCTCTCTTCAGAATCCTATACAGTGACCAGAAGTACAGCAAACCTTCACTCTTTGAAAAGAGAAAGAGCAACCTGAGCCAGTATTTGGATATTTATTTGTAAAACTTAGGTTAGAAAAATTTGTGTAAAGTGTCTTAATGCCTAAGAGGGGTAATAGTTTCGTATTACTGAAGGAGAAACATTGAACTATATTAGGTGTTATGAGAGAATGCTATGTGTTGAGGACTTGTTCCACAGTAAGAGCATTGCAGAAACAAGATGGAGAACAATCCCAAAAGATTTGATTAAAAGAAAAAAAATCTACTGAGAATTAACCCACTGGTCCATGTCAATATTAGTTTTATTCTTGATGGCTGTCCATCCACGGCTATCTGTGGCTAGCCTTGCTGTTTTCCCTACTGTTCCCAGGTCTAGCCAGAGGTACCAAGAAGAGGTGCTTTTTCTCTGAAGTACCAGTGACCACAGCCACCACTTTTGAAGACAAGAGGATAAACTACATAACTCAGTGGTCTTTTTCATTTGGAAATACCTGTCATTATGGCATCAAGGAGTTTAGTCAAAGGGGCTAAGTGAGTAACCAGTGAGAAAAACGCCTTTTTGTAAGCCTGAAACCAGAAGCACTGGAAAAACATTCTCACCTGAACTGTAATCTTTCAGTCGCAAGTCCTTCACAGGTGTCCCGTCAGGTCCACGGAAAGCATTGAGAATCTACAGGAAAACCAAAATCCTCTTCAGTCTCCAAAACAAAACCTTGGGAAGCAAGGCACTTGCTAACATTCATTACTCTTCCTCTAAGACTTTTGCTGTTTCTGGCCTAACTGTTACAAACTAAGATGTTTTCCTGACAAAGTTCCCACAGTACCTGAGAACTGTTCATTGAGTTTTGGGGAGTATTTTTGTTTGTTTTTGTTTAAATAAGTGAGCACCATTTACACCAGAATTCAACAGTTCAGGAGGCTGTCATGCTGGTTTTAGGCAGAGACCTCACTCATGATCTTTGTTTAAGGTCAGAAAGGTCTTATTGCCTTTAAGAAAATGATGGGACGTAGGGTGACTGTTCTGAGTCTCATCATCCTCTAATGTACAAAGTTTCTACTATGAGCTCTCCAGTATCCAGATTTCAGTATTAAGCCTCAGAAGCTCTGATCACTGCAGCTCACCCTAGGAAAAATTGCTGCACATAGGTGTTCTCATGTCTGCAACAGCCACAGAAAACAACCTAATTAGAACTAGGAGCTTTTGGAAAGGTAACTTCTTTCACCTTGTAGAGGAAACCTTGGATTTTTTTTTACTGAAATCAGTAGTAGCAGATGACATCTCCATGCTTATAAGAACCCATTTCAGCACCTTCAAGTAACTAGCAGGGAACAAGTTCACTCAGACATTAAATGTCTTCCTGGCTCAAAATACAGTGCTGAAGTAATAATAATATTATTTATATTCTAAAGCAATCCTGAAAGTGAGGCATGTGACCGAGTCTGGTAATTGAGGCTTTTGCCCACCAACACCCGACATGAGACAGCAGAAAAACCCATCGCTTCCAGACCACCCCAAAAGCAAAATAATCAGATAAAAAAATAACACTGCAATCACTTTTGAATTTGGATTTTCTTTGGGGGAAATGACAGGCCAAAAACAGATTACATGAACTGCACTCACCAGGCTTGAATATGGTAAGTCTAGAAACACTTTTGATAGAGATTTTGCAATGAATTTTGGACAAAAAAAAAATCCCACTTACATCATCCTTTGTGGCAGTTTCAGGCACTCCTCCTAGCCGAATGAGTTTGCTTGGCTTCACGTATTTGGGGCAGGTCCGGTAATCTTGGTCCTTGAGTTCACGGAATCAAGATAGTTTTTACAAATGAGACATGCTAGCTCAGAGGATAGACAAACCAGAACAAATAAAACAGGGCATAATTCAAAGGCAAGGGGCCATAAGCAGAATGGCTCAAACCTTTAACACAGCATTGTTTAAGATTCAGAGAGCCTAGAAAGCTCTCAGAATCTCTCTCTACAAACTACAAAACTCAGAATAATCCATGAATGTCAAGAGGCAGCCCTTGCCCCGGATCACAGAGATCTCCCAAGATTTGAGCGCAACACAATTAAACGGCCTCTCTGCTCTCCAAAAGTGGAAGATTCAAATTCAATGGAGTTACTAATTCAGCAGTTACCTGCTTCAGATTTTGAAGTTAAATACAGGAAAACAAAGCACACATGAGAACAGCGATTCTGTTCTACGTGGGTCCATCTAACCCAGTATCTTGTCTCTAACAGTGCTTATAAACAGATGCCCAGGAGAAAAGAAGAACAGAGTAAGTTCTTCTGTATAATACTTCCTCTGTAACACCCTCCCTTTGTCCAGCCATTTTTAACTTGGGGACTTCCTAAACCAAATGTGGTTCTATGTGTTTAGCAATTCTCAATTGCTAAATTGCATTCTCAAAAAGAGTATTTCTGAGATAGGAGGGTGGCACACTAAAATGATCTGAAGCATGAGGATGATCTCAGAAAAGGGCAGTGAATTAGGATAGAACTCAAGAGATGAAACATGGATAGAAGACTCCTTCCCAGCTCCTTTCATTCTTTTTCCAACATGTGTTTAACAGAAACACTGACTGACAAAGCCACCTACCTGAAGGCTCTTATAGAGCCTAGAATCTTTGCTGGGTTTTCCTTCTGAGAAGGACTTGCCATGTTCATAATCAAACATCTGATGCCCTGGCAGCCGGTGATCCACATCGCGATACTCAATGTTTCGGTAGTCCGTATCTTGCCTTCCAAGGAAATCCAGGCCACCTTCACCCTTTAACCCAAGATCAGAATCGGATCTTTGCTGCTCCCCCCCAGAAAGCTGCTGCTGCTGCTTGTTAGCAAAGGTCTGAGGTTGCTCCTCCTGGTTCTGAAGAGTAGGATGAGGCCCACGGCTATTTTGGAAATTGTGTGAAGCGTCGTCTTCAAGACCCAGTCCAAGGGATTCTTCTTCTCCAGCTGGTGTTTCTGAATGGTGGAATTCTCCTTTTTGGCTACCAAAGGGAGTTCTATCTAGACCAAGCGCAGGGTCCTCTCTCTTGCTGGTGCTTAAACCAGAGCCCTCTCTTTCTGCTAAAGGTAGAGTAGATTGGTTGCGCCTAAAATCTACAAGGTTTTGATCCACAGGAGGCATTTCCCTATCTGAAAAGTCCATAGGAGGAGCCACGTCTCTGCTCCTAAAATCCTGATCGGACCGGGATCTGTTCCTATTTCTGAAGTCTGATGATGGTGCATTTCTATTTCTGAAGTCCAAATCAGAGGAACCCACATCCCTAAAGTCCAAATCAGGTACGTCCCTATTTCTGAAGTCTGAATAAGAGTGCTCTCTGCCTCTGTAGTCTAACTCAGAGGCATCTCTTGCCCTAAAGTCTGAATGAGAACCATCTCGACCTCTGAAGTCCAGATCAAAAGACCCTCTTCCCCTGAAGTCTGATGGAGGTTCATCTCTGCCCCTGTAATCCATATTATGTGCTTCCCTATCCCTGTAGTTCATACGGAATGCCTCCCTGTTCCTATAGTCCACTGAAGGAACGTCCCCACCCCTGAAGTCCATAGGCGGCCCTTCTCTTTCCCGCAACTCTCCAGAGTACATATCCCTGCCCCTGAACTCTGAAGAGGGTGGCTCCCTACCTCTGAAATCCAACTGTGAATCATCTCTGTTCTGAAAGTCAGAAGGTGGGTAATCTCTGCTCCTGAAATCATGGTGCCCCTCCCCACCTCTGAAGTCACTACGTGGTCCATCTCTAGCTCCAAAGCTGAAAGAAGGTTCCTCTCTGTTGGCAAACTGAGGATTGAGGAGGCCTGCGAGTGCCTGGATATCAAAAGGAAGTGATTCTCTGCCAGAGAAGTTGCCAGAGTGTCTTTCTTGAGCAAGACTATCAAGGGAAGGAGGATATTCCCTGTTCCACCCGGGAGCAAACCTTTCTTCTTGGCTCCCACTGTAGAAATAAAGACAGTATTATTCATAACGTGCTTAGAGTCTGCAATCTACACAGCAGCACATTCTTCTCTAAACTTTTTATAGAGTTGTGTAACAGTCTAAGATCCGCAGAAGATATTGATGTTTGGCAGTTTAAGATGAGGCAGCATACGACAGATGTGAGAAAGTAAACTTGGGTGCTCCCATTTCAGCACAATTTCCAGAAGCACTCAACAGGGAATACCTGCAATATTAATGGGTTAATGATGGTAGCAATCCACATAGTCCTGCACTGCACACAGCTCTGCAGCTGTTCAAGGTTCCACCAACTGGTGTATTTGTTTCTTATCATCACCAGCACAAGCCTATAAGGAACCACTTGAGTTTAAGTTCTCTGGGCAACATCACAAACAGCTAACTTATCACATCATCATGAGGCACACAAAAGGAAAGTTTACTAAGCATACTCTATTAACATACTACACAGACTCATTTATATTGCCTTGCGCTGGAGTCTAAACCTGCAAAACGTTGAGAACTATCATTTCAGACTTTGAGGATGCCTCACAGGAATATGCCAGCAATCAAAGTTCAAAATTACCCTGTGCTTGTGCCTCCAGACTCGCTGCCCTCCACTGAGTTTACACTGCTACAGATATGAGTTCTTGTGATCTCTGCACTGTGAAACTCAAGAGGAGGTTTCCCCTTATGATAATTTTTCAAAATCCAGTAATTGTTTTCGAGGTGGAGCTATCTGACTTTTCAGCTAAGTTACTCCAACACGTTTATTAAAAAAAAAAAAAAAAAAACTTGAGAATAATAAAATATCAATACCTTTTAAAATAATACTAAAGCCAACCCTAGCCAGTAAACATTTCCTTAGCAACTACAGCAAGTCAAGTTCTTCTTTGAGTTTCAGCACACAAACCACTCACCAGCAAAACGCAAGGTGACATTTGCACAGCTAATCGAATTGTCTACAGATTTATTGACCTGAATGCCTCTGCTTCACCACCATAGAAAATAGTGATTAAAACCTGGTTCAAGGTTAGGATTCTCCACCCAACAGAGTAAAGAATGATGCTAGTAAAATCCATTTAAACATCAGCAGAAAAGCATTACTGATATCATCATAAATGATGATCACTCTTCCGTTGAGACAGGTTCTGCAGGGTACTGTTTTTCCTAGTGCAAAGGTCATCAGCTTTCTCAACAGTCAGACAATAATTTGAAATAAGAATATTTCAGAATCCTATGGATAGATGCATGCCATGAGGAAGTCCTTTTATCCTGTTGATATTCAATTAACTGACGTGGACATGTGAGTAAAGGATGAAAAATTATGCACAACAGAAAAAAACCCTAGCTCTTGGTGCCCCCATTTTTTTATATCCAGAACCCTATCACAAACATAAGGTCTATTAACAACCAGAGAAATACAAACTAAGGAAAATGTTGCACTGTAAAGGTCACTCTGCTTGGTATAAATCTTTAAAACACTTTCAGTGACGTTCAAAATCGTCTTCTAAAGAAGCACAGCCAAGAACATTGGGATATAATGGTTTACCTATCCTCAAGAAGTAGTCTCAATTGAGGCAATCACCATGATTGAAGAGAATCAACATTACAGTGCTAAGCATTTCTTCTAGGTCTGAACAGCACATAAGACCAAAATCCCAGGCATACCAGCATCTTAGCTTGTACAAGCTAAACTAAAGATCCCTAGAAGAGGTAGTGTATAGAAAGAAGAGAAACACTAAAAGCAGCTGTCTACAAAAAAACAAAAACCACACCACCACAACAGAACAGTCTGTCTACAAGAGGAGGTGCAGATACATTAAGAGAAAGCTCCTGTTGCTTATCTTGTTTAAGAACGTTACCGAAACAAACTCTACATTCAAATGCTTACCGAAATGACCCCATTCTGTTGGCTTGTCGGTGGTCTCCCCACATTTTTCTTCTGTCTAGTAGGCTTCCAGAAATGGATAATTCACTCTACGAACACCAAGACAGCAAAACCTGTTGAATGAACACCATGACAGTAAGCCATAAGCCAAGTAAAATACATCATGTAAGAAAAACACTGCTAGTTAGGAAAAGGGGTGTAGGGGACATCCGAGATCCACAAATATACACCACCATACTCAGGCATGAATATGTAGAAATGCAACAGTTGAATTCATTCCAGTCCGCAAGCTTCAAATGACTTTTGAAATCAAACTGTCAGTTATGGGTGGGCAAACAATTTCATTTGCTTTTGATTAACATAAAGCTTTCCAAAATACTGTGCTGTCTAACGCTATTTGGAGCACAACTAGAAACGTGAGAACACCACAACCTATAAACGATGAGGACCGTCACTGAACAACAGCTGGCAATTAACGTTTAATCCAAACTATTTTTGCCAAAAGCTCTTTGCTGTTTAAGGAAGCTATTACCACTACTGGTCTGCTATGCTTACTTTGCCCTCAAAGAGTATCTAGATAACAGAGTATGCTTTGCCAATAAATCGTTACAGTCACTGTTCTCCGCCACAGCCCTACTCAAGCTGAGTGCCGCTTGTAACACGTGCGTCAACAGAGATCTAAAATTTCACCCACCTCCTCTCCCCAGTGGAGAAGGTGAGGATTTCCTGGCTACTGCCAAAGCCAGAACTTAAACAGGAAGTACTTCAGTCTTCCCCCAAAAAAGGCTGCAGCAAAACACAGAGCAAAACAACGCAGCTAGCAACAGACAATCTCAGAAATAAGGATTTATCTCCCATACTAGTCCATCTGATAATTACATCCACACGACTGCAGCACTATTCAGATAGAACAATAGTGGTTTTATCCCAATACCAGTGATGTAGTAATATGCTATTCTCCACATTTAAGAGAGATTAGCGATAACATGAGAAGTCACATCAGACTTCTGAATCAGCCAGGACTGAACCTGAAACACATGAATCCCAAAATACCATGCCTCTTCTCCTTTCACTACCATCCACAACACCTGCACTTACTTCAGATGGCATTACCTACATTTTCAGGAAGTTCCCATTCGCACTCATGAAAAAACAGAAAACACGGTGAGCGCACTCACAGGTAACCGCCACCTCCAGAAGAAGTTGACAGTACCACAGTACTGTAAGGATGCTACTGAATTCTGTATTTAACAGTCTAGATATCTTCATCTTACCTAAACAGGTAACGTGACAATCTGTATTAGCAGCAAAGACCAAATACATTCAGAGTTGTAGCAGCAGCATGCCATGTGCAGCACCAGCTTAGATGCAGACACTTTCTACAGACAAGTAAGCAACTTGGGAACACGGCTGCCACCTACCAGACCAAGGTTAAGAGATCTGGGGCTAGCATGCTTCTACAAAGCATTCAAAAGCAGATTTAAACTTATTTCAGTGATTATGTGGAATAGAACATACTAAGTCACTTACCACCAGTAAGTGGCTGGAGCAGATTATCTCAAAAAAAAAAAATGCACACAACATCCTGCTTCTTTAATTACCAGAGGTCAGCCCTTCCGTCTTGTGGCAGTTTGAAAGAGCAGGTTATGACAGAAGTTATAACAGGGAGTGAGGCCAGATACCACTCCCAGCAGTCACCTGTGCCAAGAAGCTAAAGGCAACTGCCCTGTGAGCACAGAGTACGTGCTCCTACCAGGGTCCATTACCAGCAAGCCAACACTCACGTGGGAAACGGGATTGCAGGGCCTGACTCGCAGTGGTGGCTGACGAAGACAACCTATATAACCACTGCCGGTCAGTTCCTTTTAACTCCATTTCCTAAAGAAGCAGGTTCGTACAATTGCACAAACAGCGACTAAAGCCTGAGAATGCTAGTCCTTGCAAGCATTATAAGGCTCTTGATGTTGTGGCCCAGTGGCCTGCTTTTCTAACCCAGCTGTCCACAAGGTCAGCTCTGCTTGTATATCCCTCCCACTGTAACAGCCGCTGCTGAGGAGCAGGCCTTTCCCTGTGCTCCCAGGCTATTCCTACAGCTCTGGGATGCGGAGGCACCCTCAACTCACTTTCCTCACACATAGATCAAGTTCCATCTGCAGCTTCTGCAAAATGGGGCTGTAACAACAAGCATCTCCCTATCTCCAGGGATTTTCTCCATAAGTCCTATCCTTTTTTTCTTTCATAGGGGAGAATCTAAGAGAACAGAAACTGTACCTTCCACTGAGAGGACAGGCAAACGGAATGGTTATGGCAGAGACATTGGCTGTCATCAGCTAGTCCTTTTATCTATGATCATTAGCAGGCTGCAGACATCTGCAGACCTGGTGGTTTGTGTTCTTCCCTTTGGGATTTCCTTCCCCACGCCAGTTTTCATTAAGCCCATAAGCTTCTACTAAAAAAAAAAAAAAAAAAAAAAAAAGGAAATTCCTTGCCACATGGGAACTGACAGGATATAATACTCTAATTATCAAATGGAGGAGGGAGGAACACCAGACTGATGTCAGACCTGGCGTAGACCAACTGAGCCATGCAGCAACATCCACCAAGTATGAGGTCATGGTTCAGTAATTCAGGCAGGAATACTGGCTCAAACAGTCCCCTCTGCTCAGCCTCATACCATTTGCTCCCTCCATTCTGCCTTTGGCAATATGCAATATGTTAGTTGTGCCAATGCATGTTTTTTCTGGGCCCACATCATGGATAACCCTCCAAAAAGAGTTGCAATTAACATGGCAATTTCAGTGATATAGTTTACCGTACAGCCCACATAACAAGGTGGCAGCAAACTGCAGCACAAGGACAGAAACTTCGTAAACTAGCTTCCACCAAAGTCAAGATCTCCTGAAGATATACCCTTAGACAACTGCTCTAAAGGATGCAAGTTGTGCCATTGCCACCGAGAGGTCAAGGCCCTCGAGCTTCCTAATCCTGTGATGAGACACCCTCAGGATCTACCCTCCTGCTACTGTCAGGTAATTGCCAGCTTAACACCCATCTCGCTCTTGCCATAATCTCTGAGTTTCCAGTCTTATCTACAAAAGTGATTTGACTGAATCCCAGTGCAGAGCTGGCAGGAAACCAGGAAGCAGAACCGCAATCTGCTGGTGATCCCAAACCTCACAAAAAGCAACACACACCAGCACACAGGGAGCCACAGGCTGAAGCCAGCAACCAGCTTTTGCATTCCGCAGCATGGAGCAGCCTTCGAAGAAGCGTCAGTATGAACTAGGCTGTTTGCAGAAGACACACCAACAGAGCCTGGGGGTGGAGCCAGGCCACCAGGAAAGCACAGTAAAAAATCAACGCTCCAGAGGTATGAATTGTGCGTCAATTAGTTTTGCCATACATAAGTCACAATTGTGCATCTGAAGGAGAGGGCAAGAAAGGACGTTTCAGAGCGGCACAATAACACAGGCACAGAATCCACAACATGGTCCAGTTACTCACAGAGCCCTAATTTAGAACTCTTTTGTGATAACAATGAGCTGTTGCAATTATATTGAACATTCAGGAGGGCTAATATGCATACTAAAAGTAACAAGTATATTTTCCTCCTCCTCTCCCAACTGGCTCTATTTTCCTTGTGGCAAAGCCTTGGCTCCAGCAAAGATACAGAAGGGGTATCTCAAAGGAGCAGGAGCCCTTTTGCGGCCAGTGATCCCACAGCCCTCCCAGCACGCAGAAGAGACTGAAGTGCGAGAAAATGGCAGCCTGCCAGGCCTCTGGCTGCTCCCTTCTGATTACGTGCAAGAACTTCCTTATGACAGTGCCCTCTATCCTGCCCAGCGCACCACCATGCAGCCCAACAACTGTTACCGCAGTTTGGAGGAAGTTCCTGATTCTGTTTTCCAAACTGCGCATTCCAAGCCCTGCCACGGCAGACTCCACTCTTTTGGATCTCTTACTGAAATTCACGTCATAATATGATAAAATAATGGCATTGTACAGCAGAATCATATAACTGAGCTAGACTAAGAAGTTATCTTTCTTAGGGAATAACTTAAGATTTCTGCCAAGAGGCAGAGTGAGGAATGTCAACACACAGTTCTTGAGCACCTTCTCATCAACTCATTCAGCCAACGTTTTGCATGTTCTCTTCCAAATTTTTGGGGAGAGAGGGGAAATGGATGATGGATCAGGCAAGCTGAAATTTCAAAAGAGACGCTATTTTACTTTGACATGCACTCTGATATTCACAACTTCTTTCCAAACAGATTTGGAATGCCATTTGGAATGCCAAGACTGCCAAACTTGGCGTTTATGGACCATGAGGGAATCAAACACATAAGCATAACAAGACTGCTCAAAGAACAGAGCAAGTAATTTGCTGTGGAAGAACTTTCTGCACTCAGTAAAGTTTTTGTAAGTCTAAATAAAGGACAAGCATCTGGGAAATTCAAGCACTACAAGAGGAACAAATCAAGATGTTTTTCCAAGCTACAGAAATAGTAAGTAGCCAAAAAAGCTTGTTATTTCCAATTTTCAAGTTGAAGAGTTGTAATCCAGAACTGTACAACTATCAAAATCATGTCACTGAAGTCTGAAAGTGAAGGGAGGAAGAATCATTTCAGCTCTTCCAGCTGTCAGGCCGGAAGTTTTCACTTAAAGATTGACGCGTGTGTTTCTTAACTTTACTGCACACAAAAAAACATGCGTTAGAAACAGTCAGGGGAATCATCCCACACCCTATTATTCTCCTGATCTTGTTTGTCCCAAAGGACTTTATGAACCCATTCCCACCTAGAAAGTGTTTAGCAATGCTTTTATCCCAATTATGCCCTGCTGGGATAAGAAAGTGGATTCCACTTTCAGGGGCATTTCCAAAATTAACATTGCATATTAGCAACAACATCAAACTCCTGTGGCGTCAATCAAAAAATAAAAATAAAATAAAAGACATGAGTGCTCACTGTTACTACTCCCAACAGTTCACTACTACTGCATTGAAAACAAGAAACCAGCCTTCACTGGCCTCCAGCAGAAGCCAGGCCACATTCTGCCTACACCTTAGCCTCTATTTACAGTCCAAAATCCCACTTCTCATTACCTGCCCAAACTATTAACTGATTCATCTACAACCAGAGACGAGACCGGATCACCTCTCTGTGCATCTCAGCATGAATCCGACCCGCTTCGTGTCCACGCGCTTTAAAAGTGCAAGTGTTCTGAGCTACTTTTCATAGACGCACATACAACACAGTGAACAAAATTTTGACCGAGCTCTCAAAACATCACCAAGCCACCTTGGAACGCCATCATAACCATCGGCAGCAACACGGACGGCAAGCTGCAACACTCTGCACAGCCGTGCAGGGCACTCCTGCGCCCAGCTGAGGCCTTGCTCCCCTACCAGGGCCTGCGGCCTGCTCAGAGGGGAG